TCTGAAGGACCCATGGGCAAATTGAGCCCCTAAGCACCCTGGGCTGCATACAGGCTGCCCTAAGCAGCTACAAAGCAAAGGACTGTGAGAAGGTTGCAGAGCCAGGACTGTGGACAATTCCAGATTGTACATGTATGTACGTACCTCTGGGTTCTTCTGGTATCTCTCTCATGTATGTACATGTGTGTACATCTTGGAATATTATTGCAACAATTATTCCAAATTTATAGGTAGTACCTTGAATCACTACCTAGCTAAAATAGTATTCCATAAATATTATTCCAAAAAAATATTCCAGTAGGTCAGATGACCCCTGGAATGTTTTAAGCCACCCCCTATCTTAAAACAAGTCTGGGACAACTTTGGCGAGGACTGCACCCTGAGATACGCCAGGTCCCCATACCAATCTGAACGTCTTCTTCCAGAAGGTCCTCGGTATAGGGCAAACAGTCACCAAAGGTTACCTTGTAACCTGGACCTGAACAAAGTAGCAAACAAAGCAACAGGGTCTTCACGAGCACATGTTCATGAAGTGAAGCGGATGCTTCTGGTGCATCCCAAGAATCTATATAATTACAATACAGGGCTTTAAATAGCTAACCCATCTGGCTTGTTTCCAGGAGCCAAGCGCTCGCCTTTGCCCAAGCGCGCACGTTGCTGCCTATAATTACCAGCTTGAAACGTCTTGCCTTCGTGAATTTGGGCCAAGGCTTCAGTCATGTTCAAAGCCACACAATCCTGCCTTTGCAATGGTTGCGAGGTGCACCGACCTGGCTCTGATAATTTGACGAGCCAACATTCCTTGTGCATACCCCGGTTGAGGTTTTGTCGACAAAGGCGCATCACGGCGCATCCGCCGTAGTCAAGTCCCTGTGCCTGGTGGTTTGGGTACCTCGACTCTGGCTCTGGCAGCAAACCTAGGCCCAATTCCGGACAGCGAATAGATACGAATAGAATAGACTATATACGAGATATATACATATCCTTAAGATTCCATAAGAATGACTTGTGAAATCTTGTGAACTTCTGCAATTGCAAATCTTGCCCAATGCCAGGTTGAATCTGAGTGTCGGACGCTTCACCTCGCAAAGCTGAGCCGGCATAAGTTTCACGACGCAGGATCAGGATCGAATCTCACAGCACTCATATTGAGCCAACACTGATTACTGAATCAAAGGAAGAACATTCAGTCCTGAAGCCGAAGATATTGCAGTCAGCAGTTGTTTTATGATGTTTTATGTGGCATGCGAATGAGTTAGAGGTCTGCTTGCTTCTGTGGTCTTGGAAGCACACTCCCACCTGGTTCAGCTGGATCTGCACTTCTTGAGGGCAAAGTGGTCGCAGAGGAGGATTCACCTCGGCGTGTCTAGGTCCAACTAAGGAGTAGGATGTGAAGATTCCATAGTCTGAGTTCCTTGGTCCTCTCTCTAGTCATTCTTCATACATGCACATGTTGTCAGTTTTGGGTCTTCCTTGTTGATTTTTGGTTGAAACATAGATGTATAATCGCTGCTCCTACCCAAAAAGAGCCTGATAGAGACTGCCCCAGACCTCTCTGCTGCCTTGACCTTCGCTGTTTCTGGGCCATGGGCTTCGTTCCTCCAGTTCTGTACTGGCGTCGGACTTGACAACAGCCTGTAACGAGCTTCGATATGGATGACCATTCATGCCCCATAGAGAGTAGCCAACTCTTTGTGATTTAATGACTTGGATGTTGGGTTTGGGTGCTTGAAGTTCCGACGTATGGATCACTCTTCGAAGGACTTCCGGTTTGCCGCCCAACTTGGCACAGCTGTCTTTATAGCTCAACTCACAAGTGAGAGTCTATACCATCTGTATAGTATACAGTGTTTCGGAACTGGCTTGCCTTGACAAATGAATGGTGCGCTTAAGGAGCCACAAATGTGACTTGCAACCTCCCTTTGATTCAATTTGATTAATTGGAACTGTGACCAAACTGGATTCACGAAAGCTCTACAGATTTCACTGACAACCCGAATGTGAACGTCCAAAATTTGCAGATTGGACATCGAAATCAAAATTGGATTTTATCAATTCAATGGCTTGAAAGCGTAATTGGCTAAGATTCATGCACAATCACGCACCTGTATTCGCTCGTGTGGCATGGAAGGATGCACGCTGCACGCCTGGCCTCTTTTGCTTCCTTGCCCCTCTCAGCTTTTTCATCTGTGTCTGAGACCTGGACCAGGATGTGACGCACAGCAGAATTGTTCAATGGATGTTGAAGAAACTCCCCGCGAACAGAAGCTCAAAATTTTGACAACATACATCAACATACTCTGATGTCGATGATGTCAAGAAATCGTGGAATTTTACCAAGGCATGGGTACGGGTACAAGTTTATGACACTGTATTTGTCGATCAAAGTTGCCTCGTCTAGTTACCATTCTTGTGGCTGCTGTTGTTGTGACAGTGACTAGCCATCGCTGGTACCATAGTGGCTTGCCATTGTCGCCCGTGTGTCTGCCCATTACTCTGGTGCTTGTCGCTTGTCATTGCTGTTGTCATTGTCGTTTGGGCAAATGACGGGCATGCTGGGGATCATTGATTGGCCACTGGAGGGACAGTTGTAGGAATTCTAGTGGATTGAGTTGGGCCACTGGCAGTTGCTGGCGGGATTGGGGATTGGGTGGGGCAGGGCCTTGCAACAGCAACAAAGGTCAAGCGCTTTGACTCTTTGACCTGAATCCTGTCAAACGGGAAATAATAATGAAAACCAGAGCCTTCTCTTCTTTCGATGTGGTCTCAGTAGTCTCCTCCTTCTGCTCAGCATCGCTCCTTGAAACCACAATGGAGGCCTCACGCCTAAACTTACTTAGTTGCTGATAGTTTTCTTCATCTCTTCAAGTGAATGGACTGGCTCCTTGCGTGTTCTGTTCTCAATCAAAACCTTTCCTCTTTAGGAGGTATGAACAAGTTGTTGCAGCGTATCAACACATCAAAAGTGTCGGGATACAAAACAGTGAGTAACCAATGCATATATATATATATTCAAATCTGATTAAAACTAAAGGTTGGCTGCATGAGCTGTAACTGTGAGCTGTGTCATGAGTATCCCACTTCCAAGTGAACGCCTGCGGCTTGGTCACCTGGAAAAAACAAAGAGCAAAAGATCCGTCCAACCATCAAACAATGAACCCAGTCCAAAGTACGTTCTCCAGAGTCAAAACAAATGGACCAGGGAGCAATCATTTGTTTGAAAGGAGTATCAAGAGGAACAGAAGCAAAACACGACAAAAAAGCAAGCAAGTCGAAACTGGACACGACAGAACACTGGCACCAGAACGCTATACACATCAAAATATGTGCTTCAGACATCCAGGGCACAGTATAGATCTATATCCTATAATATAATACATGTAGTTTTAAGCAATTCATCATATCGCGCATCGCACCTTGCGGCTCTGTATGCCAATTGCTCGCATGCGGCCAACGTACTCCAAGAGCTCATCAATCTCTGCCTGATTTGTGCCAACTGCCCGGTCAACCATAAACATCAGGTGAAATCAACATAGCTCGAAAAGTGACCTGAAAACTGCCACCACGACTTAGTCTTCACCTGTATGAAAACGAATACAAAAGAGGCGGTACTTGCTTACGCCGGGTTTGGTGCCAAAGGCCTGATACGCAAACCACGCAATCTCACGCCAACTCCCTTACTCCCTTCCTCTCCTTGATGCCCTGGTTGATGGCTTCTTTGAGACCTGCTACCAGTTTGGCCTCGTCCTGGAGTCCGGTCTTGCCACCCACACTCAGAAAAGAAAAGCCTACGATTTCAGGAAGGATCTTGCATGGCTGAGAGCCTGTGTTGATGTTACCTATGTGCCCCTGTCTCAGGCTACTAACGCTAGTACATTGCTAGTAAGCTTGAAACCCTCAATCATTCTAGAACATGTGTTTCAATTGCCAAAACGAAGCTGAAGATATGCTGCTGCAAAATATTGCAAATGAATACCCTCACCCACTCGGCCACTCAAACATGCCGGTAATTGTGGGCAAATGGTGGGATCCAAAGCATTGGTTGTTTCTTCAGTGCAAAAAACTTGTAGACAAATACCAAATTCAGGCTTGCTGGGTGTGGTTCCATCAAATGTTGCAACGCATTGAATTTGGTCTTGAGTCTGAGTTGTTGAGGCTCTTTTCAAGCGCTGCCGCTCTCACACACGGCCTCACAATTAGTGAGCTCATCGTAGGCCCTCTGAAGTTTGACCTGGAGAAGAAAGCAGTGTGGAAAGGCTTTACACATGGCTGTTGCAAGGCAACTGGCAAACTAAAACATCATGTGTGGGAGGACAAGCGGGTTCTTCATTGATTTGTCAATTTTAGAGCGTGAAACATGTACACAGCATGAAAGCTTGCGAGGATGAATAAGGTAGGATCAAGATCCTCCTCTGATACAAGTCGTTGTTACAACTTTGGCAAGAGAGGGCTCAGGCTTAACATTTACAGTAGCCAATGTGTCCACCATAACGTGTACCAAAGGAGCCCCTCCAAGTCTCGCCCTTATGCCTCCCAATCGTGAAGCTTGAACTTCTCCCGGTCAAAGTTCCGACAGACCATGTAAAAAGAGACGTCTGCCTGTCCAAGGATCTGCTTGTTTGAGGTTGATATTCAATCTTTTCCCATGTCATCTTTATCCAAGAACAAAGCAACATATAGTAACATTACATATTCTGGTCTGAAACACCAATGATGCTCCAGAGGAACGAACAAAATGCATCAAAATGCAACAATTGTAGTCCCACAACATGCCACGTCAATGATGCGGGCCTGATGCACGTATTCGCCTGCGCTGGGCACTGCTGACCCTTTGCTGGTGTTGTTTCGCGTCTGTCTGGCTTGGATTAGTAATAGGATGCATGGATCTGCGCTGCTCTAAACCAGCCCAGGTGCTCTTAAAAGGCCGCAGTGTGCTGAACAGCGACTTTAAAACACTGAATAGCCAATGCCTGGGCCGTGTGACAGAACTCTCCAAAACTCGGATTTGAAGCAACAAAATTCCCCTACTGCGGATTACTACGGTACAATACAACGTTAAACTTTAAAGAGAGAAACCGAAGTCTACTGTCGTTTCTTTGCAGGATTTTTGTATACGGTTGCTCGGTCAAGAGAGTCAAAAGCTATTCTACAGGACACATCAGCGACCCTACTCTTTGAGGCGGCGACGTCAGCGCGGTGTACCACTCCTCTTCCTCCGCTTTGGTGAGCTAAAAATGCAATTAATATCATTGAACCGGAAACTCCGGAGGAAACTCCGGTGGTCTTGCCTATTATATAAGTTACAAGCACGTCGAAACATTGTCGAGGACATCAAGAGCATGGATCAGAATCACTGATAATCACTGTATATTTTTCCAAATATATCATCATACTTGATTCTACTGTATATGAATTTATAGTGTGTGTGGGAGGTTCAAAATGCCTATGTCCAAGCTTGCAGTTCCCTGGCATGGGTTCGGACTGGTGGGAACGCAAGGGTTTCAACAAAAGGAGGGCAATGCTGCACAATATCGAGTTTCCTGGCTTTGACAGTTTGACAAACATGATGCAGTGTGTTGCAGCATTGTATCATCTGTGTCTAATAAGCGCTACAGTAGTAGACTTCTGGATGAGCTGGTAATCCGCCGGCCTGCCGGCGTGTTTTGTGGATTGTTTTGGTTAGTATTGCTTGTGTTGGTTTCAATCTACGGTTTGTCTCGCCGCGCGGATTTTCGACCCCAGTAGTAGTAGGTAGTAGGTAGTAGGTAGTAGGTAGTAGGTAGTAGGTAGTAGGTAGTAGGTAGTAGG